GGGGGTCTTTAAGAGGAGGCTAGATGAACACCTTGCTGGGGTCGTTTGACCCCAGTGCTCTTTCCTGCCATGGCAGGGGGGCGGACTTGATGATCTGTCAAGGTCCCTTCCGACCCTACAAACTATGAAACTGTGACCTTGTCTGCCTGTGTCCTTAGACCAACATGGCTACAACCAACACCCCTGTAACACAGATATACAAATATCAGCTTCCATATTATGACCCAAGGTGGACTACTGTAAGTTTGTGGAATTGTAGAGAGCCAAAATTACTCCAGTATGTTGAGAGAGAAAACATAGACTAATTTATTTAAAAGTTTGAATGAATGGCAACAACAGACCTGGCTACAGGTGTAATGACCCATTTATCTGGTTCTGCTTTTGGTAAGAAAGGCTATTAAATGCATATCATGCCATGACAAGGTTCCTTGGGTGAATTTGATATCTTTTATTAGACCAACCCAAATGGTTGGAGAATAGTTATTAATTAAGCTTTCGGGTTCAAAAACCCTTCGTCAGGCTCAGGAAGCTGCAGCAGTTGGTGTGTGCTCTTCCTGGATGGAATGAAAAGTAAACAAGCCAGGGGCTGGGCTGGGCTGGGGAGTCAGTTGCCAGGCAGATTATAATGTATCAAAAATCATGCCACGAGTGAGGTAGAAGATTGTACAGAAGTAAAGATGGAAATTAAGTAGAAAAACTGAAAGAGAGAGAAGACATTGACAGCAGTTCTGAACAACAGAGATATCACCAGGTGAAGTCCCTGTTGAGATGCAGGCACATCCCATTTGCTTACTGAGGCACTATCTGCAGCCAGAACAAGGAACCAAAGAGGATGTCCTAATTTAGTGTAGATGCAGCATAGTAGTAGAATTTGTTTTATAGAAATGTATCAAGCCACACCAACACCACCTTTAAAATGTTTCAGTTACTCTAAGACTTTGGGAATTAGTGAGATAACTAAGCCTATGGGCTAGGATGGTCCTTAAGGAAAACGAAATGATGCATTAAAGGTGAACTGCAAATGGCTTTTGCAGTATTATTCACTATATGTAGATTATTTATGATTACTGTAGTCAGACTAAACACAAAGGCTGGAATTTTCCCATTAAGAAATGGTTACAACATATGTTATCATCAGGGGTTTTGGTTTTCTCTGATTTAAAAACATCCCCAACATTTGGATTTAAAAAGTAACCCCAAATCCACATTTTTCCATGATTAAAATGAAACACCACTAATTTGTATATATATATATATAGTGGTGTTTCATTTTAATCGTGGAAAAATGAGGTCTTGGGGCTACTTTTTTTAATCCAAAAATTGGGGATTTTTTTTAAATCAGAGAAAGCCAGGATTCCTGGTTACCATAGAAAATGATATTATGTCCCACAAAAGGAATTATTTTCTCAGAAGAAGAGCCTGTAAATGTTCTTTGCTACTTTGAATGCCAAGGCAGTAAAAGCACTATTGGATAAAGAAAGCTCATATACCTAGTCCATGGATTTCTATGGAGAACTTAGATAAGAGGGTTGGAGGAAAACTGGTTGTTTAGATACGCTTTATAGCATTGCTATTTTTGCTGTAAAAAGCCATTGATATATTATGCAGGTAACAGTAGAGACAAATTTCCCATGAATTTGGAAACACTGTGGGAAAGAAAGGTACTAAGTATGAAAGAGCTAATCACAGCTTTTTCAAAGCACTTGGAGGAGAAGGTGATTAGGAACAGTCAGCATGGATTCACCAAGAGCAAGTCATACCTGACCAACTTGATTGCCTTCTGTGATCAGATGACTGGCTCTGTGGATGCCGGGCAGTGTACATGATATACATTGACTTTAGCAAGACTTTAGCAAAAGTCTCCCAAACCATTCTTGCAAGTGAGCTAAGGAACTATAAGTTGGATGATGTGGATTGAAGGTGGATAGAAAACTGGCTGGATCGTCAGACTCAAAGAGTAGTAATCAATGGCTTGATGTCTAGGTGGCAGCCAATATCAAGTGGAGTGCCCAGGGGTGGGTCATGGGGCACTGAGAAGAGATTTAATAGGAGCTTTCAACTACCTGAAGGTGGTTCCAAAGAGGATGGAGCTAGACTCTTCTCAGAGGTGACAGGTGCCAGAACAAGGAGCAACGGTTTCTAGTTGCAGCAAGGGAAGCTTAGGTTGGTTATTAGGGGGAAAAAACTCACAAGGAGGGTAGTAAAGCACTGGAACAGATTACCCAGAGAGGTTGTGGAATCTCCATCATAGTATCATAGTTTCATAGTTGGTAGGGTCGGAAGGGACCTAAACAGATCATCAGGTCCAACCCCCTACCCCAGGCAGGAATGGATGCCGCGGGCATATCACCCCAGCCAAATATCTGTCCAGCCTCCTCTTGAAGACCCCCAAGGTAGAAGAGAGTACCACCTCCCTTGGGAGCCCATTTCAGAGCCTGGCAGCCCTAACTGTAAAGTCATGTCTCCTGATGTCCAGCCTGAACCTTCTCTCTAACAATTTGTGGCCATTATTCCATCTTTGGGAGTTTTTAAGATCATTGGATGGGATGATCTAGTTGGGGCTGGCCCTGATTTGAGCAGGGGGTTGGACTAAATAGTCTCCTGAGGTCCCTTCCAACCTAAATTTTCTATGATTCTATGATCACAAATTCAGGCCTACTTTCTCCTTCTAAAATCCATACCCTGTTCAGTGAGGCAGAAGAATGTATGGGTAAAATAGGACTAGAACTAATGGGGTGTAGGGGACAGAAAGGGAGGCATGCCAATACTGGTGTTAGGAACTGATACATGCTTTGTCTTTCTCTATCCCTCCTACCCACTTCTGAGATACTCAGGTAATCCTCATCCCAGCTTGACATTAATTCATCTAGAAGACATCATTTTTTGAAAGAACAGATACAAAATCAACTTCTAGAATGTTCTACACTTGAAAGAGTAGAATGGTATTGCAAAAGTTTTAAGGGATGTTGTATTGCCTGCCATAAGAAGTATTTTTTGAGCTGGTATTAATATGTTATCCTACTCCGCTATTCACAGATGGGCAATTCCTGCTACCCATCAGTTTATACATAACAATTAGACTCACTTCTGATAGGAGTAACCCTGTGGGTCTTCAGTCATGCTGAAAGCACAGGTATAAGCCAGATCTAGAACTTCGAGATTGACAGCAGTATATGTTAACATGCAAGTAAAACTAGGAATGGAAAGTATACTGATGCCCCATTAGCTAAGCAGACTGGCTGGCTCAAACTGATCAGTATGGTAAGATAGAAAGGGAGAATAACAGTATCATTCAGAATAACCTTACGAAGGCATTGTAACTTTTGGAATTGTCTTACTGCATTCCTGATTTCAAATACTATCTGAATGAACTGGATAGATCATGTATACTAATCTACATGACAAATCTTAGTTTCCAGAACTATTTATTCTTCACTAAATGAAAAGCAACTTAGAAACTGTTTTTTTTACCTGGATCTATTCCAATTAGACTTTCTAGATCTCTTATCCTTTTTACTGCTGCAGCTGACACAATGCTGTAATACAAAGGACTTTGAGAAATGCAGTGGACCTCAGGGATTTCTTTCAGGTAAGCTTCAGCATCTTCGTTCTTCTGGTCAGTAATAAACATGCAGCCAGGCGAATGAGCAAAAGCTAGTGGAGATTCTAAAATAGATGAAAGATTTCCACTTACTATATATAATAATAAACACTCTAATCAAAAAATCATTAAAATGACAAAAACGATGAAAAGCTACATCATTAAACATGAATATGTTGTCTCTGTCACAAAAGTCTTAATAAATCAAAACAAAACAAAAAACTCAAGTGACACATGGGGTGCATCCCCATGAGCATGTACGTGTGTTTACCTGGGGACAACTAGCAGCGGCACATATTTATGTTACTGCTAGTTGTCCCCTGGGGAATGCCCCTGCTTACTCTCTGGAGTGCAGCAAATTGCCCCAAATGGGGTAGGAGAGGCTGGGGCCAGCACCTGGGCTGGACCAGCAGCATTACCTAAGGCCCTAGAGGCCTCCTAGGACTGCAACAGCAGCATTCTGGGCATGTGGAGCCTGGGCAGCAGCCACAGTATGGCTCTAGCTGACCAGGCTCCAGTTTCAGGCAGTACATGCTGCAGTCACATGTACCACCTCACTTTTTTTTGCCCTGTTTGGTGGGGGAGGGTTGATACCAGGAGTTCTAGTTATCTAATTTTACTCTGCAATGCAGGACCTATTCATACGTGCTGTGTGCATTTTGTGGCAGCACAAAAGCCTTTGAGGTGCCACAAAGTGTACATTCTCACTTGTGGAGGCATAGCCAAGGAGTCCAGTGAAGAGCAACAAAAATGACTAGGAGCCTCAGAAGCAGGACTTAGGAGGAAAAGCTGAAAGAGCTAGGGTTATTTAGGCTGGAGAAGAGAAGACTGAGGGGGGATTTGATATCAAACCTCAAATACCTGAAGGGTGATTACAGAAAGGATGGAGATGGCCCTTCTGTGTGGCTGCAGGAAATAGGACTAGGAGCAAAAGACTCAAGCTGCAGCAGGGGAATTTTAGTTTGGAGATTTGGAGGACCTTTCTAACTATGAGGATGTTTAAACATTAGGTTACCTAAAAAAATTGTGGACTCTCCACCCTTGGAAATATTCCAGAGCAGTTTAGAAAGATTACTTGGCTGGAATGGTATAGTCAAGGATAGAGGTGCACTGGTTCATCGGTCCATATCGTATCAGCACCAATAAAAGGAAAATTTAAATTATTGGCAATCGGCTTTTTTTGGCTGATGCCGCTGATAAAGTCACCAATAAATGCTGCATGCATGGGTGCAGCCGCAGCATGCATGTGGCCAGGAGTGCAGCCCGGCAGCTTGGAGAGCAGTGCCCAACCAGTAAGTCTGTTAGGAGGGAGAAAAGGGGTGTGGGGGGGGACACGAGATAGAGGCTTCCATGGTGAGGGAGGGGGTGGGGCAATGGCAGGCAGGGCTGAATTAACCCTTTAGTGGGCCCTAGGCAAACAAACTTATGGGCCCCTAATTAATACTGTATATTTATATTACTTTTTAAACTCAATAATTATAATACGTAAAATAAGTACAACTGAGTTCCTTCTTCACTTAGGGCCCTAGGCATGTGCCTAATTTGCCTATGTGTTAATCCAGCCCTGGGGACAGGTGCTTCGTGGGCGGGGCGGGGCATGGGGCAGAGCTGCAAGGCCCCAACAGGACGTTTGTGAGTGGCGCCCCCCACCAATATCTGCACCCTCAGTGGAGGCATAGGAGGGCATGTGCCCTCCAGATCTGTGTGGGGTGAGGGCAGGCTGCCCGCTGTGGGCTGGGGTGGCACCAGGCTCTTTCCAGTGGGGGAGGAGGGGTTGGGCCGGGGCTGTGCTTGGGGCAGGCAGCGGCAGCACTGGGAGGAAGGGTTGGGGGAAGTGATGACCACCCCAAAATTTGCTGTAGCCCACTCACAAACCCCATCCCAGCACCACCACCACCCAATCTGAGCACAGACCTGGCCCAACCCTCCCACCAGGAAAAGCCTGGTGCCACCCCCAGCCCGCAGCGGACAGCCTGCTTCCACCCTGCACACAGATCCAGGGGGCACATGTCCCCCCATGCCTCCCTTGGGGGTGCACACAGTGGTGGGAGCCATCCTCCCTTCCCTGCAACCCCAAATGAGCCTCTCATGGCTCCATACTCTGCCTCCCCCCC